CCCATCTGTTTTTGACGTATGGAACTAAACGGAACGGACGGATGGAATGAGCAAGCTCCATACAAATATCAAATCTAAGGACTGAAAAGATCGTGATTGACAGCAGATTTCAGATCAGATATATAAAAGTACTCTTTGATTGACAGTTCGACTTTGAATTTTATTTGTTGTTTTGTTTTGTTATTTTTAGTAAATTATTGGTCATAGATATTCACTCCACTGACGAATTTTGGCTTGCTTCTTAGCGTTACGATATAAAAATACAGTTACATTACAGTAGTTATGACAAATGTTGCTCATGAACCGATGGATATCGACTCAAGTGCAAATTCTTGCATTGCAATGGAAATATCTTACAACGAAATTACTTTTGAAAACGATAAATGCTCTAATATTACAGAAATAGAAACTTCATTTGAAAAGAGAAAAGACAAGGAACCTGATCCAGCGAGTGCGAGAGAAGTTAAAAAGTTTCATATAGATAGGAGCCTGAATCCTAAAACAAATTCGTTTATATGTAATCGCATATACGCAGTAGTATTTTTTACGGGTGTAATAATATCAATTTTAAGCTTTACTGTAGTGAATTTCAAATGTTATCACGAACTTAACCTCACTCTGTTGAAAAAGTCGTTATTTTCAAAAGTGTATGGACAATCGGAAGCTATTGAAACTTTTATACAGGCTTTAGGAATAAATTCTACGAGCAAGATTTTGTTTTTATACGGAGGAACTGGTGTGGGTAAAACGCTATCTATATCTATTTTACTTGATAAATTAGTAAATTATACAAATATTTACCATTATACTATGCCTAGTTTTACTGACAAGTTTTCCATGGATTTAAAATTAGGCTTTAATTTTTGTCAGAAGTCGACTATTATCATAGATGATCTAAATGCTGATGACAAACATAATATAGTGCCAATGATTACTGAAATTATTGAAAAGACTGAAAATTTAAAAAAAAATGTAACAGTAATTTTAATATACAACTGCAATCAGATTACAAATAGTTTTTCAAGAAACTGTGATAATTTCTTTGTCACCAAATTACAAAAAATGTTCATTGATGTTAAGGCTTCTAAGAAATTTATTAGATATAAATCATTAACTAAAGAAATTTTGCAAAAATGCATTGAAATGGAATTGGACCAAAGATTGATGAGAAATGTTGATATTAATAGGATGATGGAAAATTTTGATGTAATGCATGATGGTTGTAAAGGTGTCCACACCAAAATTAAGGCTATTCAAATGAAGGAAACATAAGGTATTTATAAAAAAATGTTTTTTTAAAACTGATTGTTATTTGAGAATTATATTATTTATATATAGAGTTTATTCAATAATTGTAATATATATATATAATTGTATATTGTAGTTTATTTGTTATAAATAGATCTTATGTTAAAAATTATGTATGTATTAATAAAAGTGAATTCCATCAATATTTTTTATGGTTTTAATTTTATGTTTTTATTAATATACATGGCTTTTACTTTTGCAATTACTTTTTAGCCATTATTAACCATTAGGTTATAGGTTCTATTTAGTTTCATGCAGTTAGTTTATAAATTTATTATTATTGAATTTTTACTAAAACATGAAATCTGAGCATTAGTGTATTTTTTTTGGGTCAGTTTTCCATTGATGTCTGTGGAGTCAGGGGTTGATATTATTTTTACAGAAATGTTACATTATTATAAGCACACACTCAAAGCGTTACAACACCCGGAAATGCGTAATTTTTGAGAAAAAAAATATTTAAAAGTTGTAATTTTCACTAAGAAAGTCCGCCATTTTACTAATTTGTAAAACGGGAAAATCAGGGAGCTCCGCAACTTTTCCTTTTAAGCGGGAGGTATACTCCTCCCAGCACCTCAATTCGACGGATGTCAATGGGAAGTCATACTTTTTTGGACAACTAGTCCTCAAGACTGCTAATTTAGAGTCACTGTAGTTTCTGGCGGTAAACTACTCATAAATCCAGTATATTTCACAGTATCTTTAATATATTGGAAACCAATAAAAAAAAAACCATAAATGATAAGATCAAAAGAACTTTATTTTAGAGAATGTTACATGATAATCGGCAATGCAGAGGTTTGAGAAATTATATTGTATACAAATATATTAACAAATCTTTAATACACCTACATCTCACATTTTGAAAATATGCTATTAATTAGCTGTTACCATAAGAGAAATTTAAAATTAAAAGGTGCAGTAGATTATGAGATTATATAGTACAAATCATAATTAAATAAAAACATTTGTCATATGTGCTACATTATTTAAGAAACTATTTTAATAGATTTAAGTACACCCAGTTAAAATATTAATTTAATATTTATTTATTTCACAAAAATCTGAACATGATTAAAGCGACCTTCATATGATAAAATTGTATTAGATTGAAAATTTTACTAATTGGACATAATAAAATTAACAACAGCAAAATATCTATATTTCATATTTCACTGCACCTATTCTACTTATGTTTTACGTAAACATTAGAAGCACACTTTAGAAACATGTGCAATATTTTTTCTCAATGATATTAAAGACAATTAATTACATGATGTGCTTTACAAGTATATTGAAGCAATTTATTGTAAGTACATATTGTTTTCATAAAAACTTATTTTAGTCTGGAACAATATGGTATTTAGTAATAAAATTCAGCCAATAGAGAAACATTTAAATGTTAATAGAAAAAGCTCCCCTAAATTTAAAAGCCAGCAAGGTAAGTGCATACAAACAGGAAAATGTGCCATAATATGTGGAGAGCTGCTTTCTAAAATTTAATAGAGTTCACTTGAAATTAGTAGTAAGTGGAATTAGTACTTGTAATTATTCCATTTATGCTTTGTGTATGTCAGGAATACCAAAAAGGGAAGACAGCATGAAATACATTTTATCATTCTGCAAAACTAGTGATAAGTACTGAAACAAATTAATATATTTGTGCATATAATAAAATACTGACTATGAATAATTGAAAATCATCAGATGGGTTATTAGTTTATAAATAAATCTTTGTCACAACAATTTATTCATGTATGACAGAGCTAGTAAAATATTCTTGTATCTAGATTAATAAACATCTGTTGTAATACATAAAATACTGACTGGAAACAACCTAAAGCAATAAAAACAGTAGTATTAAATCTGTACAAAGACCTTTTTCACCATTCAATTCCACTGAAAAATCTTTGGATATCAGAATGGCTAGCACAAGTTTTAACTTAATGTTTATAAGTAATATAAGTTTGTAGTATAATATTGTTATAAACTATTATGTGATGTCAGACAAATGTTCAAGGTTTTATAAATTAACATTAACATTTATTGTAATCATCACTATGACAATAATTATCTTTAGTTCTGTTTTTCAGTACATTTTCTGTCAACAAAAACATTCATTTTGATACTAATCCTTATGGCATACATATGTAGAAATTATACACACATCTTGCTTATATAGATAGCATCATTAAAATAAAACAATTCAAGCATATTAAAGTTGAAAACACTCAAACATGCAATGTGCAAATAAATATTTATCTATTTACATAAATGTATGTTTAATAAAAATTAATTTTAAAACATTGATTAATACTAAATATGCGTAACAATAAAGACTAGAATAAATTTTAGTTTATACAGTTATTGGCACTAAATTCAAGTATAATGGCACAACTATGTACTTTCAGTTTTAATAATAATTTTCTTACAAAGTTTTTATTCTGGTTAATTAAATTTTCTGTTTGGTGATTAATTTACAGCTGACCTTTCAGAAGTACTAAAATTAAGTTTTGCTAACTATGCTAAAATATTTTACGAAATTGTAAAACAAGATTACTGAATTTTATTTGTCTAATTACATGTCTAACAAATACAGAATTATCCCCAAGGATATTGATATAATAAGTTTTTATAAGCGAACCTAATATTTTACTTAAAAATTGCAAGTATAAGTTGCCTTGTAAATTTACAAATACATATACTTTTAAAATTATTGCAGAAATAAGTATTACTAAAAAGAAGATATGAAGATATTACACCTAATTTATTGCATAGGTACAGAATTAGGTTACATTTTATTTATAGGCATTGCAGAGACAATAACAAGATTTAAATCTAAAAATTGACAAAATTGATATAATTCACTTAAAACATTATAAAAAATCTGCACTAGCTAATACTAGGTAGTTGTTGAGGACTAATATAATTTAGTCAGTAGTTTTCGAATAATTTAGTACACTACTTATTTTTATTAGCATTGGATGGATAGTGCCAATAACTGCAAGTAATTATTTACTTAAGTCTTACTAACTAGGTATCCAATAACAAATAGAACACCTTTTTAAGCACGACAAAACATTCATAGTTAAAAATGTAGAGAGACTTATTGAGAAATGTGCTAATTAATTACTCTAAATTTTAAAAGTTTCTGCATTTCGTATTCCGAAAATACACATGACAAAGATTCACTCATTCAGATCTGTTGATTTCTTTGAGATTTTTTTCAAGTTTTGGTTATTACTTAGCGACGACATAATTTTCGATGGAGATATTCGATTCTGGCAGAGATCAGAGTTGTTTTTAAATCTATGATTAAATTAACTAGCATCAAGCACTGGATATTTAAACGGTATCACATTTTAGCCACATTACTTATGATCTTTATATTAGGACTTTTACTTTTAACTATTATAAGAATAAGAAATAGCTTTTGAATTGCTTATATTGACATAGACATCTTTATATGGTAACTTAATTCCTTGAGATTATAAAAGAAATCTAATAAAATTCGTGTAATTTTCATAGCAGAATTAGATATTAAATCTTTTAGTGTACTTTATTGCTGCCAAAAGTTGTAGTATTCATTCGCCGTGAAAAGTGACAATTGTTTTAATGATTTCACCGTTACAGGGCGGTTGTTTTGTCGAACATTTAACTTTTGGCAGCTTGCAATGAGATGGTACTAGTTAGGAGCGATGGAAGTGGACAGCTATCCATTTGTTGTGGCGCTTGTGCCATATGCGAGTTTCTTGCGACTGGCGAGTTTCACGTCGCCCTTCAGCATCAACACTTTGAGTTAAGCAGACGTACGCTATTACCGCAACATCTTCTCCGAGCAAATGTACTCTCGGGTTTAGAATAGTAGTGTTGGTTTTTACGTGAGTGGGAGTGTTATCAATGAAGAATTTGTGGAATTCCACACCTTCTACCAAATTACCTAATGCATCGGGGTCAAACGCAGTTACATTAGGATCACAGAGTTTAGAATAAGTATCGTAATCACCATTATTTACGGCATCTATCAGCACTTCGGTTACTTTTATCACTTCAGCACGGCGTAAAGAAGCGTTGCTATCTCCTCGAGCCTTTCCAAACGAATCTGCTTTTGTAAGCGCTTCCTCGTCATGGTCTTTGGAAATGACGGTACACGCTCTATCTACGCCTTTCTTGTCTTTGTCTAAGTCGTCGTCTTCTAAAGTAGTACTGCTGTCCGTAGATTCTTTGACTTGGGATCCATCGCCTTTTTTGTTCACCATCGATTTTCCAGAAAAGTTTCGCGTAGCAAGCATAGTAGTTAAAATGGCTCCCTTCAATTTGCGACGTGCATTGAACTTCTTCAAACAGTCCACTGTTTCCTGTCGGTGCATGACCGATGCAACGCGTTCGCGGTGACATATCCACGGATGTTTAAGAGCTTCAGAAGCTGTAATTCTCTTGCTTGGGTTAACAGTTAACATTTGATTAATAAGACTTTTTGCTTCGGGTGTTACTGTATCCCATTCGGGTGACGGATAGTCGTAAGCTCCAGCTTTAATTTGTCCATACAGTCGGTGTTGATCCTCATCCCAGAACGGTGGGTACCCAACAAGCAAAATATACAAAATAACACCACAGGCCCAAATATCCACAGGTTTTCCATAAGGTTCCTTCTTAAGAACTTCAGGCGACAGATATCCCGGCGTACCGGCAAAACCAAACCACGCTTGTTGATCGCCTTGAACTTCAATAGCTAAACCAAAATCAGCAAGTTTTACAGCGGCGCCTTTAGCTTTACTTGCAAGCAGTAAATTTTCGGGCTTGAGGTCCCTATGTACAACACCATTATGGTGGCAGTGATGCACAGACTCCAAAATTTGTTGTATGCAGTGGGAGGCATCGGCCTCTGAGTAAAACTCCCGAGCCACAATATCTTCGAATAATTCGCCACCAGTAACTAAATCAAAAACGAGGTAGTGAAAATGTTCTTCTTGTATAGAATCATGGAGTCTTACAATATTGGGATGTTGCAACTTTCGACAAATTCTAGCCTCGCGTTCCAATTTTTGAAAATCTCGAGCTGACAGTTTCTTGGTGTTAATAATTTTAGCGGCAAATTCATATCCAGTAGATTTCTGAACAGCCCGTCTCACTATTGAAAAAGCTCCTTTTCCCAATTCTTCTTTCAGATCATAATTATCCGAGAAACGTGTGCTAACGCTTTCTCGATTCGGATTAGCCATTTTGCTACAATTAAATTATTTTACCTGTCTGAAAATCACAACTTACAGCTTAACACTGTGCACAGATGTCTTCTTGTAATATCTGAAACAAATTTGAAATAATTAATAAAATTAGGGAATCATTAATTGCGGGCAATCTGCTTTGATTTCATATTATCGAGCATTTTTTATATAAACTCATAATACCATTTTCAATGGGTTAACTTAACTGTTTGTTACTTCATAACTTTTTAGAAAAGTATATATTTTCGAAAATAGTCTCAATAACGTTAGAAATATATAATGCACTGAAAAATAAAACTACAATATTTCTTTTACAGACAACCAGATAATTGCTCTGGCAGTGTAAATGACAAAAACCAAAAAGTATATTTTTTATGCTATTTTACTATTTCGGTCACAGACGCGCCCGCAAGCAAAATTTAAAACGCGTAGATACCTAGACAATAGTAATCGCGATCACAAACATAGACTTCTAATATTAACACTACGGCACTGGGATGACATTTCGTTAGCGCAAAATAATCGATACACCATTGTCTCACCATATTTAACGAAATCTCGAGGATTTTACATTATTCAATGAAAATGACAACCCATATTTACATTAATTTACGAATGAATGTCCAATCAATAATAAAAAAATAACACGCGTATTAAAATTTATTCTTTAAAGACGATCAGTGTGCGACAGTGAATGATATTCTTAGCAGAAGTTACTTTTACGGCCTTTTCGCAATATTTTCAATGTATTAATTCATCAAATTAAAAATTGATCGAATAGCACTGCATTTAATAAAAAAAAAATATTTACCTATTATGTGCCCATTTTACACAACTTTAACAAGATGAAGATCAAAAACTAAGGGCCTAGCCCTACACCACACTCTCCTTCTGCTCCGGACACGAGCTTCGGGGTCAAATTCATAGACATTTGTGAGTTGCCAGGTCCGTGCGACTTCTGTTATACTTTGTTTCCACATCGTACCGGCGTTTTCCTTAATATCTAAAATAAAGAAAAGTGCTCTTGAACCTATTTATTATGTAATTTGGTTTATTAGTAGTATATTTACTATTGAAATGATAATTTAAATTATTTAAATGTATGAATTTTTACTCGTGTAAATACTGAGGAATGTACACAAAATCGATACAGTAGCGCAGCGGCAAACCAAAGAGAATTTAACATATCAGCGTGGATAGAGCCATCTATCAGTATATGGAAGGAAATATAATTTGTGTTATTAATAGATGATCTAATTTAGATTAAATAACGTTTAAATGCAAAACCCAGGTGTTATTACATTGTATTAAAACTATTATTTTTTAATTGCTATCTTCCTATTAACATATAGTATTATTAACAAATAGGAGGCCTATGTTCAGCAATGGACTCAAACAGGCTGAAATGATTATAATGATGATATTCCATATTTTGTATTACTGAAGTTTAAAAGTTAATGTGTAGATAAATAAAAAAAAGGTTTATAATTATTTTTTTCTTTCAAATAACCAATTTCTTTAATGTTCAGGCTATTTAAAATCTTCGTAGTCGTTCATTTGTAGGTTTGGTTAAATTCATCCATTTTTTTTGGTTACACTGGCTACACTTTGGCTACACTGCGGAAAATAATTTATCACAAAAATTAAAGTTTATATGGGTACTTTAAAATAGTATGTCGGTTAGTAGTTACATTATAAATATAAGTTAATTCTTGTACTGGTTAATTGTAGTTAGTTAATTCTTATGGTTATTATTGTTCACGCATCCCAGGATTAAAATTAATCACTCTTCTACTGAATTTTTTTTAAATATTTGTTTCTGTTTTCTATTATAGCGGTGTTTAGTTTTAAAACATTTATAAACTTTTTACCTTATTATTTTTTTCGGTTTTGTATAATCATTTTTCCTCACTATTTCTATTAGTAATTAACGCCATCGCAACAGTCGAAAAATATTTGTTCGAAATTTGTTAATTGATGCCTTGTAAAAAAAGAAACACCAATAGTAATCAGGCCTATTATTCAAGCGTTATGTCCACTCCATTAAAAGTTAACTTTTTCTTCAGTAGTCTTTCAGTTTTATGTAACAACTATGATTTTTATCGTTATTAATATTTTATTTCTTAAACAATAATATATTTTCGGAATATTCAGCTATGGTCAAGAGCTAGGTGTAAGTAAATGTACGGAATGGCTAATTCTAATTTTTTATTGAGCGGTACCTACATAGAACAGTTTTGTACTTATGTATTTCAGAAAAAAATTTCAGATATCTTCTTTGACTTTCAAGAATTAATTCTGATAAAGAATTTGCACATAACATATCCACACTTAATTATGACCAATAAGTAAAAATATCTTTTAGTACAGTGTTCCCACTACCTATTTGATCGTCTGTTCGAAACGGTAAATTGTGATTATTTAGCGATCCCCTTTTTGAATGTTTAACTCAACGGTATTTCACAGGAATCAAAACTGGTTCGCATCTTGCGCAAGTATAGGGGAATTAACAAGGGCTTTCGGGACGGGCCCTTCCGAAATTCGCCGGTGCACAATGCACCCTCCGTGGCCATCCCCACGCGACTTCTCTTATTATTACACGACTCCTGTTCCTTTCCCCACATTGTTCACATTATTTTTATATTGGTACTCGGTTGACGCGTTACAAAGTTTTTGTAGCTCCAAGTTTCCGCGCAAGCGATCCTTTTTATGGCAATTTTTAACGCTCATTTCATTTTCTCATGGTTAATTTTGCAACAGTTAAATAAGTAGATCATCTGAAACGGTTCTAATTTATTGCGCCAGGGTATTCGATCGGTTCTGTCACCTAATATTGGAGCGAAGGGAAGTATTAAGGTTTCGAGCGTTGCGGTCGTCTCAAGTTGCTTTTCTCATGAGCGGACTTGCTTGTAAAATAATAACTTGAGAATTATATGTGTGGTAGGAGCGACGTAGCACGCCGTGCTAAGGGCAGCGTCCATAAGGCTGTGTAGTGTGCGGCTATATCGATCGCGAACGCCTCTCGGTCCCTACAATGCGTTCTGTGATTTCGGTGATAGCTCTGAATTGGCGGGAGATGGGACGCCGCGCTTGTTTTGGCGAACGCAGTAAGTAAATTTTTTTTTATTCGTATATTTCTGCCTTAAGATGTGTATTTTGACAGTTGTTGCAGTTTTACTTAAAACCCCCACATTATACCTATTTTAATCTGTTTATCTGCAATCAGTAGTTGTAAACCTTTTTTTTAATCTGTACATTTATTTTTTTCTATCCAAGGTAATAACTCCATAACATCGAGATTGATACCCTTGTTTTATTAATGTGTATTATGTTGGCATAATAAAAAAGGATGATTCCCTGATTCTTAAGTATTTTGGTACATTTTTAAATTCGATTGGTATTCGGGAATCTAAGATTTTAACCTAACGAAAGAACGTGCTTGGAAAATGAAACTGGTTTTAGCAGACTAACGTTATTTGCGAAAGTGCTAAAACTTTTCTTGTTAGAGGGAATTAGATACATATATCATTAATATTATAGCTTTCTGTCGATATGAATTTAATATTTATTAATTCTGCTTTTTTTGTTACTCAAATAAACGAAAATAAAATTATTATTGAAAAGGAAACACACAACCAAAAATCTGAACATTAAAATATTTTTGTGTGTTATTAAACGTTAAAATTTACTTCGGAAGACGATATGTTGTTAACTTTTCGTTATAAAGCCATAGGTGCCAAACACGAGGCACAAATAAAAAGGAATCTTAAACATGAATGCTCGCGGTTACTTACGGCGAAGGTTGAAGTTGAAACAAATAATTCAATAAAATAACTAATTAAGATTTACTATTTACATTATAACATCATAATATTGGAAATACTCTTGGATAAAATCTGGTTTTAAAATTAAATGTTCTTATATATTATTTATTTTTTTATTTATTCTTTATTGAAAACACGCGAAAAAGCGCTACAAAGGGCGGACTTAATGCCTATTGGCATTCTTTACCAGTCTACCCGGGGCGTGAGGAGAAATCGTGGTAGGTGCAATAAATAAAATTGCATAATAAATTTATGTGACTTAAATAATAATTTATGCATTACACATTATATAACTCCAGAACATACAAGATATTATATAAAAACGATTTATGTAACACACCATATACAATACAAAAATATAATCATATACACATAATATATATATATATATATATATATATAAATAATAATAATAATATATTATCTATGTTTATGGGATATTACTTGGAGCGTGCTAAATGCCGCGTGAAGACCTTACTCGTGCCGTTGACGTCACGTTTCAGCTTTAATACAGAATAGGGTTTATTTATGAAATATTTTCATAAGGAAAATAATATTACTTAAATATAACAAGTAGCTACTATCTAAGAAGAGAGAAAACGTTGAATTATTTGTAAATACGACTGTGATTTTATTAAATATATAAGCAATATCATTAGGTTTATTAATTATTAGGTTTGTGTAAAATTATGATATATCCACTTATTATATAAATGACCTCTATAAACACTTTATTTTTTTATTTATGAAACTATTCTTATGAAGTATATAATTAGTAAAAACTATATTTATGAATAATTAATTACTTTCTAAATAATTACTTCTGTGTTTTGACACAACGTAATAACTTTAATTGAATAGTAACTATTTATAAGGTTATTCACCAGTTCTTCAAATAAAATCTAAATAATTTTTTTGTATTTTTAATTACGTAAGTCACAGTTTTCTTACAGTTTTTTTTCTCACAATGGAATGGGAAATTAATCCAAATTGTAAAAGGTCCTCAAGAATGCAGACTTTACAACAGTTAATTTGAGCTAATCATTATGATATTGTAATCGTATTTCGATAATTATATCCAATGTAATTTACGGGTGCATTATTTTCACCAGTATATATAATGACTAGACATCGGATTATACGCACTATCAAAACGCCAAAATATGCATTCAA